TTATAACGTTACGAATTTTGTATTTTACAGTACAATTAACAAACATTGGAGCTTGTGTTACAAATGACGAGTGTAATGACAACGAAGCTTGCGTGAATAGACAATGCCGAGATCCTTGCAATTGCGGTACCAACGCAATCTGTTTCGTAAGAAATCACAAACCAATATGCTCTTGCAAAGAAGGCTACCAAGGCAATCCTGAAATTGCATGCGTTTCGGTAGAATGTCAACAAGATTACGACTGTGCTCTAGATAAATCCTGCAAGAAAAACTACTGCGTTGATCCATGTTTACTGTCAGACCTGTGTGGTTTAAATGCCGAGTGTTACGTAAGAAACCACATAGCTGATTGTCGTTGTCGCAAGGGATATTATGGTAATCCTTTGGACAAATGTCGAGTTATTGGTTGTCACAGTAACGGAGATTGTCCTAGCGAACATTCATGTATCAACATGCAATGCATCGATGCTTGCCTTCACGACAATCCTTGTTCTTCACGTGCCGAATGTAAAGTTCTAAATCATATCCCAATTTGTCGCTGTCCAGTTCATTATACTGGCAATCCATATATCCTTTGCAAGTTGGAAGAACAACCTGAATGTAGAGAAGACAGCGATTGCCCAGACAGATTAGCATGTTTCAATCACAAATGCGAAGAACCTTGTCCAATAATACAACCTTGTACTCCGCCATCAGAATGTAGAGTATTACCTACATCTCCAATAAGAACGATGATTTGTGTTTGCCCAAGCGGATACGTTAGTAGTGGTAGTGGAACATGTCAGCCTACAACACCAATCGTTAAAATCGAATGTACAAAGGATAATGACTGTGCTCAGGACAAATCTTGTATCAATGGTATATGCAGAAATCCATGTTCATGTGGTCCTAATGCAATTTGCAATGTAGTCGATCATAAGCCAGTATGTTCTTGTATCTCGGGCTACGATGGAAGCGCGGACATTGCATGTACCGAAGGTATACTATTAAAATATCTTACGATTACTAAATCATCTTTCAATTTATTATTACGCAAATTTTCTCTAATTATATATTCTATGTTATAGTCACCGGTTGCCGTACAAATGACGATTGTAGCGGAACACACGTATGTGTTAGACATAATTGCATTCCTGCTTGCTCATCCACGACAATATCTTGTGGAAAAGGAGCAGAATGTCGAGCTATAAATCACAAAGCCATTTGCGAATGTCCACCAGGCTTGAAAGGCAATCCTATCGTATCTTGTGTTTTATTAGGATGTAGAAGCAATACGGATTGTCCCACAAATAAAGCATGCATTAACAATCGTTGTGAAGATCCTTGCATATCCAATCCGTGCACTGATAAAACTGAATGCAATGTATACAATCATGTTGTTGAGTGTTCTTGTCCACCAGGATACATTGGTAATTCCAAATCTGGATGCGTTAAAGGTAGAAATTACATACTTATAAAAAATATTATATAATTCATGTTATTACTACCAAACTTATTTTTGTTTATACTTGTTATTATAACGATTTTATTATTTACTCATAGAAACATGTAAAGCAGATTATGAATGTCCACCTCAAACAGCATGCTTTGATGGAGAATGCATCAATCCTTGCATCAAAATTGCACCTTGCGGCATAAATGCTATTTGTAAAGTATTAGACACAGAACCAGTTAGGACAATGATCTGTGATACAAGTAATTTATTGTATTTTATAATTATATTATTTTATAATTATGTTATTTGTCGTGTTTTATAACATATATTTATTCTTCTTATAGTAAATGTTTGTTCTTCTGAGAAAGGGCAAATACGTGACGAGTATGGTAATTGCGTTTGCCCACAACACATGGCTAAAGACCAACACGATATTTGTATACCCTGTCACGAAGATACTGGAATGATCATTAATAATCAAGGATATTGTACTTGTGCCTTAGAGAAAGGATTTTTGATAGATGAATACGGTCGCTGCATATGTCCAACTCAAGATGGATACAAATTAACTGGCAATGGATATTGTAAACTCGGTAAGTACGCAATTTCTATATTTAATTATTTCCTTTAGCTTTATATAAACTTTATATTAATAAATATTAATATCATTACAGTCGGAATAATAGAATGCAGAGTAGATGACGATTGTGCAGATAATAGATATTGTGAACAGACAACAAAAACTTGTGAAGATCCTTGCTCAAAAATAGTATGTAGTGTAAATGCATTTTGCAATGCAACTAGACATCAAGCTCATTGCTGTAAGTATAAAAAAAAATGATTAATATATATTATTATAGATATAGCTATAGCCTGAAAGTTTTAAATAAATTATAATTATATTCTCTCCACAGTTGTCAAAGAAAAAACACCCAAAACAGATTTCCCCACACCAGACATGGGCGTCAGTTGTTTATCAGATGGAGTCCAAGTTGAAATATATTTGCAAGATCACGAATTCGATGGTGTTTTGTATGTTAAAGGCCGTAGCAAAGATGAACAATGTAGACGTGTTGTTTCGATACCTGCTGAAACTATCCATAAAACTGATATAATATTTAAAGTTGCATTTGGCAATTGCGGATTGATACATGTAAATGTAAGTATTCTTCAAAAATTCTTAATATATATAATGTTTACTTCTTAAATAATTTAATTTAAATTTTTCCTTCTGAATATGTTTAATATTATGATTTAATTAACAGGGACAAGCCAGTTTCATACTTGTTGTTCAGAAGCATCCAAAATTAGTAACGTACAAAGCACAAGCCTATCACATTAAATGTATATATCAAACTGGTGAACAAAATGTTACACTTGGCTTTAATGTTTCAATGTTAACTACTGCTGGTACTATTGCAAATACTGGACCACCTCCAACGTGTATAATGAAAATAGTTACTCATAATGGAAATGAAATAAATTCTGCTGAAATAGGAGATAATCTAATGTTACAAGTTGAAGTTCAGCCATCATGTATGTATATTTTCGGGAGATCTATTATATAGTTTTACTAGATAAATCATCATATCGAACATCTAATTTTTTTCATATTTTTCGTCCATAGCAATTTATGGAGGTTTTGCAAGAAATTGTGTTGCCAAAACTATGGAGGATAATTTGGAAAACGAATATATTGTAACAGATGAAAATGGATGTGCAACAGATCCAACAATATTCGGAGAATGGCAACAGGATCATGAAACTCAATCATTAATGGCTAGTTTTAATGCCTTTAAGTTTCCCAGTAGTGATAATATCAGATTCCAATGTAATATACGAGTCTGCTTTGGACGATGTCAGCCTGTAAATATTTATTTAATAATTATTATTATTTTTTTGCGGAATAAATCCTAACAATATAACAAATTTATTTAATTATAATTAAATATCAATTTTAGGTAAACTGCCGAGGATACAACGCATTCGGTCGCCGTCGTAGAGATGTTGAAGCTGAATCAAATGATACAGCCTTAAGTGTCTCTGATGGTTACGAAGGACAACTTCGTGAAGAGATAACAATTGAATCGAACTTAATATTTACTTTGGAAAGAAGAGAAGAAAGATTAACAGCAGATCCGGCTGAAGGTATAATATTTAATTATTTATATTAACTACTTAATACAAAGATCAGGAACTTTTTCTTCATTAACCATGTAATATTATCACTTTCAGTTCCTTCCGCTCAAAGAGTAGAAGATATTTGTGTTTCTATGGTTGGATTTATCATAGCCTTAGTTATAACAGCACTTTTAGCACTAGTTGCTGTCGCTATTGCTGTGTCATGCTGGTTAATGGCATACAGACGTCAGCCAAAGACTGCTGGACCACTGCCACATCCACCAGAGTTTCCAAATCCTCTGTTCACTACCGAATCTGTAGCTGAACCTCCTCCTGATTATCACTTATCATAAGTTTTTTAGTATAATTATTTTATATATAATATAATTTTTTATAATTATATCATGGAATGCATTTCAGACCATTCTTCCTAACTTGGTCAGTCTTGTATTTCTAAATGCAACTCCTCCAATGACTATCTTTTTTACATATGCTCTCAAGGGTTTACATGATCAATGTCACTATCCTGTATAAAAATATTAATGTTATGAAGTATGTATGTATTTTCTATTTATGGTGACGGGGTTGCTTTCATTATCTCTCTATGTGTATACATGAAACATAATCTTATTTGTCATAAACATCATCCTCTGTATTATTTTTTCTAGTCAGTGGAGGATTTGTTATACACACACAAATACACGAAATCGCGAATTTATTTGCGTGTAAAGTCAAACAAAGTAGTCTAATGTAATTTTTTTTATTATAAAAATAGACAATTGTACATTTTAACTAATGCCAATTAAATATATTGCAAATGTTTTTTCAATCAGATGTTCTATAAAAAAAGTTTAATTACATATATGGATTAATCTATGTGGCGAAATCACAATGCCAAATAATTGTGAAAATATTATAAAAATATTTGTTGACAAATTACTTTAAATTTAGAATAAAGTATATATATATATATATATATATATATATATATATATATATATATATATATGTATACTTATATAAATATATATATATATATATATGTATACTTATATAAATATATATATATATATATTTCTATTTATATATATACAATATAGTAGAAAATAAAGTAGCAATAAAATTTAATAACATTAAACATGTAACAAACGTATCATATACGAACACTTGTAATGTAATAACATTTGCGATAACAAAATTAAAAACGAACATTTTGAAAATAATTGTGATGTTTATTAAATGCATTTATACTCTAAAATATGAATTTTACATTTAATATAGTACATGGCTTCCTTAAATTGTAAAAAATACTATTTTATCACAACATAATCAATCTTAAAGACTGTACAACATACTTATCTTTCATTTATAAGTTACATTCGATTGAAAGAATTTATATTAAGGTAAGTGTTAATATAAAATAATTTTAATTTAATTCGAATTATTTAAGTAAATTCATGTAATATTATATTCTTTAATATCATCGATCATTGAATATCTAATGGAGAACTCTATGGCATATAATTTACATTAGATATAAAAGCTATATATTAATATACATTTTATGTAAATTATCCTTTAATAACTGCTATTGGCCTCAGTTTAATACATTTTTTAGAAATACCAGCTGAATGACATGTATTTACAACATCCGTTACATTCTTATATGATTCTGGAGCTTCTTCCATAACTAATTTTGGTGAAGCAACTCTAATAGATATTCCTAAACTTTCTAATTTGTTTAATACATCTTTATAATCCAAATTTCTTCGTGATTTTGCTCTAGACAAGGCACGACCCTAAATATATCACAAAAATTAAATTAAATTTTTTTATTAAAAATAATGCTACTTTATTGTATATATTTTCAATGTATTTTAAATACTTACAGCTCCATGGCACGTAGATCCAAAAGTTTCTTGCATTCCTTGTTCAGTTCCGGTAAGAACATAACTACATGTTCCCATTGTACCACCAATTAAAACTGGTTGACCAGTTAATTGATAATCTACAGGAATCAATGGATGATGAGGTGGAAAAGCCCTGGTTGATCCCTTTATCAAAAACAAAATAATTTATCTTCTTTTTCTTCTATTATTCATAAAAAACATGTTATACTACAAAACTTACCTTTCTATGAATTAAAAGTGTTTTTTGTTTGCCATCAACCATATGTTCTTCTATTTTAGCAACATTATGCGATACATCATAAATAACATGCATATCCAAGTCATCTGGAGAAAGGCGAAATTGTTTTGCAAATGCCTGAAAATATAATAAAAATAAAAAAGTTACACATAATATAATATCATTTACTTATATGTTTATAGGTACGAACCTGTCGTGTGAGAAATGTCATAGAACTTCGATTAACCCATGCAAAATTAGCAGCAGCTGACATAGCTTTTAAATAATCTTGACCCTCCTGAGATTTAATATGAGCACAAGCAAGTTGTCTATCATTTGTTTCGATATTATCCCTTTTCATAGCTTTTTCCATTTGTACAAGTGCATCTAAAATATAAATAAATTATAGATAATTAATTCAGTAAAATAAAGAAACATGTATTTTATCTTGTTTTTTTTTTGTCTAAAATACCTGTGGCAACTTGATGTCCAAAGCCTCTGCTTCCAGAATGAATCATAACACAAATTTGGCCCTTTTCTTCGATACCCATCTTACATGCAGCCCATTTATCGTAAATTTCATCTACAACTTGAATCTCAGCATAATGGTTTCCTGCGCCTAATGTACCTAACTAAAATAACATAAATGTTATTACAATTAATATAATACTAATGTAACTTTAAATTTACCTGAGGAAGACCACGTTTTTTTGCTCTTAATGATACTTTCGAAGGATCAGCATTTAACATTCGACCATATTCTTCACAATGTTCTTTATCTTCTGCCCAGATATAACCTATAATCGATATAAAAATGAAAATTATAATATCGAAATATTCCAAAACACATTTCTTATTAAATTTTAATTAGATATTTACCTTCTCTCAAAGACCAATCCATACCCATCTCCAATGCCTCTTCTAAATCTCTTGCATTCATTGGTATGATTCCTTTAGATCCAACTCCTACTGGGATATGGTCAAACATACTTTGTGCAAGTTGTTCCTATTAAATGCAATATTGAATTTATGTATAATTTAAAATGCAAATAAAATAAAACTATATAATACCTTAATAGGTAGAATTTCATGTTCAAATAAATTTGTTCTTAACAAACGAACGCCACAATTTATATCAAATCCTACTCCACCAGGTGATACTATAGACTTTGGATCATTTAAATCAAATGCTGCCATATTACCTGTATATAAAATAAATATATTATACATATGGAAAGACAAAAAAAAATATAAAAAGAAAGAAAATATATTATACCAATGGCAAAACCATATCCGGAATGAACATCAGGCAATCCAACTGATCTTCCTACAATTCCAGGTAAAGCAGCAACATTAGCAATTTGCTTCATACCAGGTAGGAAACCTCCAACTGTTCCTGGCCTACATGCATTTCGTAATTCTTCAAACATTAGACGTTCTAATGTATTGTTGACATAAAATATGCCTTCAACCTTAAAATTCATGCCAATTAAATATTTTTTTCTTTCTTTAATAAAATTTTTAATAAAATCATTTTAAAGAATATATATCATATGTACCTTCATATTTGGTTGAAAACCTTTTTTAATTCTCCAAGACCATTCATTAATTTTTTCTAAATATTTAAGTTCTTCCTGATACTGTCTAACAACCATTTTGCTAAAAATAAAATGTAAATAATTGTAATATTTAATATAATTATTTATTATATGATGTAATATAAGTATTAATGTAATAACGAAAGTAACGATTACAATTAAAAAAAAAATATTTAATATTATAATATTAAACCTACAATAGTTATATATGTGTATAAATATTAATTATAAATAATTAATTAAATTATAACTTATACGTACAATTGTTCTAAACAAACTTGTAAAAAGCCGATTACTCTTATAAAATCTTGTAACAATCGCCCAAAGTTATTTTGACAGTCTAAAAAAATAGTCAGTCTTACCACGTTTCAAATATTACTAGATAAAATCTGTACCAAGCATGCGCAAATACCAAAATGTTTCTACGCATGCGCCGCAATATATAACTTAATTTCATATGTAATATAGAATATATATATATATAATATATAATATATATATATATGTTCCTTTGATGTAAAATAAATAAACAATGTAATAATGTTAAGTGCGACCAAATATTATTTATTTCCATATAATCTATTTACAGCTACGTATGTGTATTATCTTTTCTACTTTTGTAAATATTATATATAAATTAGCTAAATAAATTTATTTAATGTTTAATATTAACCATATGTGTAACGATTTCAATATTCATAAATTACATATCGTATGAAACGCCCGAAGCTGCACTTTGCATTTGCTGGAAGCAAGTGTGATAATAAGATATGTAATAAGGTTAAACACGGAGAATAAAAAAGTGGATAAAAGAGAATTACAGTAATAAAGTACGCATATAAAAATGAGGATTGTGTAATTCCTCTAAAGCTATCATTGAAAACTGTATTGTAAAGAGTAACAGGGCAAAAAATTATATTTTATATATAAATATATATATATGTATAGATATAGATATATATTATATGCAAATTATTAGTTTTGGAAAAGAGTACGAGTAAATTCTATATAATCCAATGCTCCAGTGATTGGTCTTTCCGTTTTTGGATCAACGTATGGTTTCATACGTGCCACGCAGTAGTCAGCCATTTCTTTCGTAAGATTCTGAAAAAAAAAATTACGTCATAATATAAAAAACAATAACTTACAAACTGCAATTAAATAAACAATATTATACATACAGCATATAATTCTTCCTTCGTTACATATGGCCGATCTGCCGCTGTAATGGCACGGAAGGCATTTTCTATTTCTTCCGAACTTTGGACATTTTCTGTTTCTTTGCTTATCATAAACGCCATGTATTCTTGTAACGATACGTAACCATCTCTGTTTGGATCGACAATATCTAGAAATAACAAATTCCACATTAAACATTATAAGAAAATATTAAATAAATGTAAATATAATAAAGTGTAAATGATGATAAATAATCAACAAACCAAGTATGTTTTCAAATTCTGGATCAGGCTGACCCTCTTCGACCATTGGTAAATCATATCCAAGTGCTCTCAAACATGATTTAAATTCTTGATGATTCAATCGTCCACTCTTATCCTTATCAAAGTGTTTGAACATCATTGAGAATTCTTTAAGGGCATCTTCAGAAACACCGGATTGATTTCTTGCTTGAATTTGTTGTTCGAGATTGTGTTGCATACGCATTCCAAGTTGATCCAATTGATCCCATTGTTGTGCCAAACCAACTGTACTATGTTCTGTATAACGATTATCAAGGATTAAATGCTCTTCCAATATTGCACCAAGATCTTCGATTTTCTTCAAATCTTGACGACGTGCTCGAACTTCCTGAGTTTTTCTCTATAATAACGTAATCGGATACATATTAAAATTATATATTATATGTTGGATATTTTCGAACTTTAGATTAGGTAGAAATAAGAAATTTCTCATATTTATGCAAACCTTTGTTGCTTCCAATTGTTGTTCCAAAGAACCAGAACCTTCCATCATAGATGTTCTATAAAGTATGAAAAAAGTATTGTTGAATAAAATTATTGAAATAATTTATAAGTAAATGAAACATAAATTATATACCTCGTTTCTGCCAACCATTGATGGAACGCATTAGCATGTTTAGCGAATTCTTTTCGTAATTTATCATTTTCTTCTTGTCGTTGAGCTTCCTTTGCCAGCTCTACGTCACGTTCCTTGATAATCTTTTGCAAATTACGCCAGGTATCTTCTAGTGCTTCCATCGTGAACCATGTATATGGATTTGGGCCAACATTGAAGCTCTTTATTTGTCTATCGAGAGCAGCAAGCGCTTGGAAATCTGCTTCAGCGGAAGACAAACTTGCTTGGAATTGAGCATGAGCTTCACGTAGTGCACGAATCTCTTCGATGCTGTTACATCTAACTGGATCAGTTAAATCTTCCTCTGCATTTTCAAACCACGAATTAAAAGCGGAAGCTTTCTTGGCAAACGTAAGATAAAGTTCTTCTATCTGTCTAAACTGATCCTGCATTCTTAACAATCGTTGTTTACGTGCATCAGAATCTGCCAAGAGTTTTTGCCAACGAGTTATCACATCAGCATGACGTTTCTGAATGCTCGGAGTTTGATCATGTCCAGCATCAACGAGCATTTCTTTCAAAGAAGTAATATTTTGTATACCCTCGTGTTCAAACGCATGTAAGCCAGCATCGAAAGTTTCCTGCTTGGTTAATAGTGTTTGAACGGTCGATAAATCACGTCCAAATTCTTCCGAACGTACATGGGTTTCTTTGTCAGCAATCCATGATTCAACAACATCAGCTTTCCACATAAACTGCAAATACGCCGAATTATCGTTGAGACGAGTTTTTCTTCTTGCTGCAAGCGCACCAAGTTGTTCCAATTTGTTACGCAATTGCGTACATCTTTGTCCAATAGCATCAGCTCGATGATTGCCAGCTTTGATCAATGCTTCCCCAGCTTCACAGATGTCTTTGCAACGTTCTCCATGAGCGGCAAAATCGGTTTCAAAAGCATCATGTTTCTTTAATAAACCTTGAACAGCAGCCATTGTATCACCATAATCTTCAACTGAAAGCAATTGCTGCTTCTCAGTGATCCACGCTTCTTCTTCTTCGACCTTCGCTAAGAACTGTTGATACGTTAAGGATTCGTCCAATTTTTGACCTCTGTTAGCAGCCAATTGTTTGAGTTCGGACCAGGCTTGATTGAGAAGCTTCAAACGTTGTTCAATCTCATGTGCACCCAAGTTAGAAACATCCATCAATTTTTCTCCTGCTTCTTGAACCGCTTGAATGGCAGGTTCATGACTACCAAGTTCAGCTTCTAATCTCTTATGCTTCTTTTTAAGATTTTGTACGCCTGTTAGGTCACGACCATAATCGTCAGATCCAACCAATAATTTCTTTTCCTTGATCCAAGATTCTTCATCGGCGATATCACGGAAGAATTGATGTAATGTGTTAGCCTCGTTGAGTCTTGCTTGTCTATGTGCAGCAAGATTTCTAATACGTTCGTATCGTTCGTTTATGCTCTGTCTCTTCTCTTGAATACCAGTTGCATCAAATTGTCCACTTTCAATGAGAGAATCTGCTTGTGCATTCATATCTTTGATTCTTTCTTCGTGAGCTTGAATATCCGCCTCGACCAATTGATGTTTCTTCATCAAATTTTGCACGGATGCTAAATCTTTACCCGCATCTTCAGAAGTTAATAAACTTTCAACCTCACCAAGCCAAAAGTCTAAATCCTTTACAGCCGCAATGTATGTACGTTGTTTATTGGCCTCTTTCAATTTCATAGATTTCTCTGTAGTCTTTTGAGTAAGATATTCCCACTGGTCAGCAATGGATGCTAATCTCTTTTGAACTGCATCTTCGGAACCCGCGCATTGATGCTTCTCTATCAAATTTCCTCCCATTGCTAGAACCGACTGAATTCTATCAGCATTAGCTGCAAGCTCCGCTTCGAACGCTTGATGTTTCTGATGTTTCGATTGTATGTTAGCAGGATCTTTGTAATTTTCTTCCGTAGCTAATTGCAATTTTTCAGCTATCCAATTTTCAATTTCATCAGCATCTCTAGAGAATTGTTGAAGAGTCTGGGATTCTCCTAATTTCGATCGTTTCTCTATAAGAGCGTCCTTCAAATGTCTCCAACGATCCAATACTTGACAACGTTTCTCGTCTATTGGCTTGGCTGCATAATGTTCAGCTGCAATCAATTGATCAGCTAAAGTTTGTAAAGTTGCAATTTTCTCTTCGTGCGCATTTATAGCTTTATCGAAATCTTCGTGTTTCTTTATCAATGCCTCAACATTATCGTTACTATCAACGGTGTCTGCACTGCTCAAGAAAGCTTCTCGTGCGCTCATCCAATTCTCCGCTTGTTCACAGTCTCTGCAGAATAATTGTAGCTCTAAGTTTTGATCCAATTGCATGCGTCGTTGGATCCAAGCTTTTTCTAATTCCTGACGAGCTTCGGCCATTGATTCGAGTTTTTCCTGGATTTCTACACTGGCATAATGGCTTGATTGCAATAATTGTTGGCCAAATAATTCAAATGCCTGGAATGTTCCAGCTCTGGCATCGATTTCCATTCGGTGTTCCTGTAAAATAATAGTAAAAATCAAATTAATAAGATAATAATGAATTTTTTTTTTGCTATAAAAAAAAATAAAAAAAAATAATAAAAATCCTGCTTTTTTTTTTTTTTTTTTTTTTTTTTTTTTTTTTTTTTTTTTTTTTTTTTATGAAATGCACAATTGTATTGTTATATATCATTTCAATCCACTCAATAATAAATGCTATAAGCGGCAAACGAAGCTGAAAATATTCAAATTGTTAATGAGCTAATATCTTCACGGAAAACACGATCGCTTTCGTCTTGTTCTAATGAGCTTTAATATTAAATAATATATGCGTGATAATTAATTGTACGTATTTTCAGAGACAAAGCGTCGCAAATACGTCGTTGCATGCTAAAATCCTCTAATACCTCTGGAAGAACGCCGTATCGCGCATCTATCTCTGCTCTGTGATTCTATAATTCAAATAACTTGTGAACGATCTGTGGGACTACGAGAAAGGAAATTTTTTATAATAAAATCTATATTAGATTTACCTGATGACGTTCGAGCAATGCCTCAGCCCCTGTAACATCCGAAGCAAGCTCCTCAGAAGCAACAAGACCCATCATTGAGTTTATCCATGCCATCAAATCACGATAATCGCTAAGGAATCGTTGTAAATCGTAAGAGTCCAATAATTTTTCTTTTCTACTATTAGCTTTCGCTGTAAGTTGAGTCCATTCTTCATTGATCTCTTTTTGTTTAGCATAAGTTTGTTCAGCTGTTTCCGGATGAGATTGCATCAAACGATTCGCTGTTTCATCCAACTGTTTAATT